GTCCACACTCAATGTAGGAAAGAATAATTTCCCCAGCACTGAAACGAACGATGAGAGAGAGGAATAACCCGCTTAATGAAAATGTCTCATGCTCAAACACCCCCCCCCCCCCCYCCACAAAACACATCTGTGAATATTAGTGTCTAAACGTAAAGCAGGAAACAATCAAAAATTAAATCCAAAACTAATACCTAAACAAAATAAATAAATATGCATCAAAATGTGCCAAATGGAGCCTTAACGCTCAGATGTGTCCTAATTAAGTAAGCATGAGGTGGGAACTGAAGAACCCTCAGACACTTTGATTGGCCGACAAGTTCACGATCATTTATCTAAAATAACATGTTTAATATAAATCTGCGACATGACGGTTTAATTTACAGTTTCAGAGTCACGGTGCTGAGTATGTGAGGAAATGAGCGCATGAGCTCTAACACGACATTATGCGTAATTGGATTATTGCGCCTAAAATTATGTTTTTACGCACGTTGTGTCTGATAGTGAAACATCACGCTGTATTGTACTGTTCAGTGCAGATCATTGTTGAGTTTATAACAGATAGCAGTAAGAAATAATTTAGTAAAGAATATTAAGTCACTTTTTTTCATTATGATTCCAGAGGGTTTTCATCTTATTGGACCGAACACTCATGTGCAAATAATATTTGTGGAAAGAAACAGGCAGCAGACTCGCACGATTTATGAAAAGTGCCATTTATGTGGGAAGGATTTCATTTTACACGTCGAGCCAAATCAAATGAGCGATAAACGTGGGACCAGAACGAGAGTCTTAATTTTTCTATGCTGCGCCTGATCACATGTAAACTTGATTTAAACAGAACGAAGCAGTTTTTATTCGGGTGTTCTATGTGACATTTGGGATGTTTGTCAAATTTAAGTCCTGGATGTGCTCTAAATTTTGGTAAAGTGAAATTGCTGAATTTAGAGGTGTAAAGTTTGTTGTGTCTACAAAATTGTTGCTGAAATTAGATTTCACCTCCTGTGTCTGTAAAAACAGACATGAAGAATTTGTTTGTCTGCAGACAAGATGCCACATTTTATTTGATTAAGGCGTTACATTTTAGTTAATTCTTTGTGCTCTTTCCTTATTTTATACATATGACCACAAAGGCCTGTTGTTTCTTAGATTGTCGAGATTTTATTTGTTAAAGTTTGATGTATTCCACGCAAAGATAAATAAAAAATATAAACGTTTTAATCTTGATATTAATGACAGATTTCTTCTTCTTCTTCTTCTTCTTCTTCTTCTTCTTCTCCGATTATTATTATTATTATTATTATTATTATTGTTATTATATAATTGTTTGTTTATTATTATATAAAAGTGCTGGTTGTTTATTTCACTCAAAAATAATCTCTTCGAATTTAATTGAAGATAAAATATTTGTATTTCTTCTGTCAGCAAATTAACATCAACTATAATAATAACAMTATTAATAATAATTATTATGTTTTCTATAATATTCGAAACAACATGGCGGAAAACTGATTAATCACAATAATGAAAATAGAGGTGAAGCTGTATCCTTCGTTTCTCGTCATTTTCTGCGGGCCTCAGGTGAAATATTCACAGGCAACAGACATACATTTTAAATGACATATGAAAATAAATCATATTAATCATGAATTCAGACCAAAACATTTATTTTCACACAGAAACATCAGCGTCTCTTGAATAAATAAATCTGCGGGCCTCCATTCACACCATCTTCACTGCAGCACCGAGCGGAAGGTCAAATATATTCCACCATTAAAATGAATTAATTTATTACAAGATGCTCTAAACGCAATAAAGACACAACACTGGAAACACATCATTTTCAGATTCTGTTCCTCAATTTCTTGCTCTCTTTTCTTTCCCAGTTCGTCGTTTTAATATGAGAACAAACAGAGATGAATCCTGAACAGGCCAGAATTTAGTTTATTCTCTAAATGATAATGAAACAGCTCTTAAACCCTTTCATCACAAACCTCTGTGAAGATTTGATGAGGTGGTGACTGTCACATTTCCTCGTCGCTTTATTTATGATTTTAAAGGACGCTGCAGTGGTTTTTAGGCAAAAAATTGAGTAAGAGAAACCATCACCCTGTTAATTAACATGAAATCTTAGTATCACTTCAAACATTTCTCATAAGTGGATTTCTCTACATATTTTTCTGTATCCAACAAGGATTTATGTCGCATGAGTCCATTAAATCCGGACCAAACACACTCATTGACAGGCTGGGCTTTAATTAATTATCATTACGCGTAATGATAATAATTAGATGTGGGGTCCTATGTTGCAGATGCTACAGATGTGTCAAATGAAATCAGGAGCAGGGACACGGTGTGTCCTCTGAGGAGACGCGCTGATGTGTCCTCTCCGTATCTCCTCTCTCATCATCATCGCGTAAAAAAATTGTGGATGATGCATCGGGTTTATCAACCTTGCGCAAATTTTCCCCGCTGTGGCGCAGACAAAAGGCGTGGGCGCCGCGGACAAAAGATACGTTGTGGCTGCTGTGGAAATATGAACCTCCATTTTGATAGCCATAGCTCGTAGACCGACATTTCCTGTCGGTGCTATCATGGCTCTGCTGCACGGGTTGTGTTGCAGGGAGAGGCTGGTGCACATGCTGCTGGTGCTGCTGCTGCGTTTCTCCATATTTGGCTGCGAGTCGATGAAAAGTGAGTGTGCGGGAGCCGCAATGGCGACAAGGCGGACATGAATAAACAGAGCTGGCTCTGTGAGAACATTACTGGCTCTCTGGTTTCTGGGCAACATGCGCGCACACAGCTCGCTGTTCACTGTCCTATACTTACCGGGCGACATTTTCTGCTGAAGGTGGCTCAGTCACAAAAACCACAGGAGAGAAACTGTGAAGCTTTGTGGCTCTGACCTGCAGCTTTGTAACCATTTATTCCAGCGCATGCTTCGAATTAGAAAGCAGCTTTACGCACCTCACCGGAACCCAGACTCTCAATTCTCTGACTATTTTTGATTAACCCGGTCTTAATAGAAATGTGTTCTCACGTCAAAGAAACGAAATGAGCTCTTTACATTGTGTTATGAACTAGAAATAAAACCTAACTGCAGGGCTTTCTATTTTAATTCCTAAATATCAAATGAATTTTCTTTTGCACATCAGGCCTCCACCGGGTCACATCGGGTTTTAAATCAGCAAAATGATCCCACTTCTAACATGATCCTGTGTGTGGAGATGAATCTGCTGCTGGTAGTGGTGGTGGTGGTGGTGGTGTGTAGCCGACGGTGATAAAGGGGGAATGTGAAACATCACACTTGGTCTATAAATATGTTCCCCTGCTCAACTGTGTTTCAGTTTCCTGCTGTTGCATGACTGACTCACATGGTTGGTTCAGAGCCATGAAAGGCCTGTGGAGATCAGTCTTCATACGCACTCATAGGCCCGCCTGTACGTGGATTTGGAAATTCCGCTCTTATCAAGTGATATCAAATGAAAATGTGCCATGTCATGTGTGCTGCCAGTCTGCATGTTTTCTGTGTGGTTGCGTTTGGATTTATCGACTTTCTGTCAGATTCTCCTCCTTGTTTTCTTTCTCTTTTTGGATTTATAGCTCCTGCAGGCCAAAGCACAGATTCCTTATTGGTCAACCAAGAAGTCACTCTGCTTTAGCCCCCAAAAAGTGGTACATGCACTAATTTTCAAATTTCAGAGGATTATTTGAGCATTTCCAATAAGAAATCCTGGATTGAAGGAAAATAGTTGGTTTTATAGGTAAAACTTTTGACATTCACTATCAAGTTGAGGTAGTTCTTTGAGACCGTTCTGCCAAATCCCTGATCTATGAGATCCATACAGATTTCAGATCAGTGTGCTGTTCTTTTTTTATGTGGTTACATTAGTGGTAGCCTTAGTGTTTTATTCTTTGGCCAAAGTGATTTTCTTTGGTCAATGTCAGTTAAAAATAGCTTCAAATTGAATATTGATCACTGGAGAGTTCAGACTTTGAAATGTGGAATGCTGGAAAAAGTAGGAAATCATCTTTTTAACTTTAATATATTCAACTAGAATGCAAATTTAAAAAAAGCTTTTTTCCTCTCTCTCTCTCTCTGTCTCTCTCTCTCTTTAAAGGTTGTTTTTTTCTACACACACACACACACATTCCTCAGCCTTCTTGTTATTCATAACATTCGAGGCTAAATCTTTCGTCAGCCTCATGTTCCAGTGCGGCAGCATCACAGTTTCAGACTGCAGTTCTGCTGCAGGCCTTGAATGACTCTACTTAAAGACTGAAGCAACATGGTCAATGTCATGAATTGTCTGTAATTACAGCTCATTCATGAAAGCTGAGCGACACACAAATGTATATTTGCAGCTTTTCTTGTGTATCTGTAGAGTGTGGGTCTGGATTTATCTGTTGGGAGAACTGATCTGCAGAGAGGAAACACAGCCAGAATTAATTGTGCATGAGCGGCCACAAAGCCTTTTGCAGACCCATTATATTTAAATGTCATATAAATGACGTCCTTCCCTGCTACACTGCGCTGCAGTGTACAAATAAATCAAATACCAATCCTGCACGAAGCCTTTCTTCTTCATACAATCCAACAATTACATAATAACTTCACGTGTCCACCTCTTGTTATGTTATGTGGTGTGTTGACATTCCTGCTCAGGGCCGAGCTGCGGCGGAAAAATAATGCATGTGTAAAGTTTTGATGATACAAGTGACCGGTGCAGTTATGCAATACAGAGAGCCCTTTGTGCAGGATCGTTTGTGATTATGCAACACGATCTGTTTTCCTATTCATGGTTCACAACCACGTTAGTGTTTCTAGTGCTTAATGTTCCATTCTTCGCCTCCATGTGCAGAGAGGAACTGCACAACAATGACACATAAATCTTTAACTGGAACATTGGAAAAAAAATCTATGAAATGTTAGTCGTTCAATATATCAACACACAAAGCTTCCAGTTTCGCCCTCCTCCCAGTGTCAGTGCAGCAAAAATATCAGAGGTCAAATCTCTTTCTTTATTGTGAAACATACCATCCAGTGAGCTGTGCCAAAAGCAATAAGTCAGTCAGCTCCTGCTAGAACAAACTTTATAACAATCATTTTGACTTTGAACCAAGTGCAAAAATGAAATGGCAAAAGAAAGAGAACAAAAAGTATCAGACAGCAGACTGAGAAATAAAGGGCAGCCGGTTCAATGGAATCACTCACAGCTTCAGATGCAGAGAACATCTAGTTTTTGTTGTGAATGACAAATTAGACGTCAATAAATATGCACTCTTCATTCTTTTTTTACTATTCTAGCATTTTAGCATTCTCACTGGTCTTGCATTAGCTGTGCGTAGAAGGCAATTTAGACTCAAATGTAGGTTACATCCAACAGCTTTGACATTTGAATTTTCAGCAGCATAATCAAAACAGTTTGCCCTCACTGGATTGCATGTAACAGTATCCAAAAGCCCTCCTCGCAACTCACATTTAGTCCATGTAGCATCCATGATCGCTTATGACCCTGGTACCTTTTTTTAAAAACATATAGCAGTCATACGTGTTCTTCAGATCGCACTGATGAGGTTCAGCAGCAAAATGAGATGAACATTGTTTATCTGTGTGACTAGGGAAACTAGAAGATATAACTCCAACATCACGTGAAGTAAATGATAAGGTAATAAATCACAGCCTTGTTGTGGTAAGAATCAATATGTCGACTTAACGGGAAAATACATGTTTGATAAATGACACCATACTGATCTTTGAGAACATATGCATGTCAGACTTTGTTTGCTAGAGCGTAATTGTGCAGTACAATCACAGATTGGATTTTAAAGGCAGATCCATCGATGGCTTTGCTGCATCTCAACGCGGAAACAAAAAAGTAAAAGACAAAGACAAAAATGCCGGGACATTCCTTCAAGGCTGCTGACATAATGGAGTATGTACCACTGGTTTTTTTTTTTTTTAATTTTCTTATTTTCTAATAATTTTTCTCATACAAGCCACAAACAAAGCCTGTAATAAAATATTCTAAGTGTTCATGTCTGGAGTAATAAAACAAAAAAAAACTCAGAAACTCCATCTCTATTAATGATAGAAATCAACATTTAAAATGTAATTAAGTGCTTTCAATTTGATCTCAATCACCATAGACTCAAGTTTCTCTCTACCTTCTATCATGACCAAAATATGAGATATTATTCATACAAAATATGTATAAACCTTCATACATCTCAGGTTATAAGTTTGGTACAGGTATGAAACAACAGCAAAAAGTATCTCATTAAGCTCCATATGACAAATAAACTGATTTTTTTTGTGTGGAATACATCCACTTGAATGCATTCACTCAAATCCTCGAGGGCACTTTCTTGACTACATCATCACAGAGGAGTTACAGTATAAAACATTATAAGAAACATATTGAATTTGACTGATAAATTATAAATTTCCATATATACAAAATTCTGATGTTACATGTTTACATATGCACATATAGACAGGTTCAATAGATAGGTCGCTGGGAGACCCAGTTTACAAAGAGTTTTCTTAGAAAGAAATATATTCCTTGAAGGTGACGGTGAGACTGTTTGTTGTGATATCAGTGATGATGATATTTCCCATGAAAGGAGAGAGTTTTTTAACAGGTTCTTCTTCAGATTTCTCTGTGGCTTTCTGCGTGTCCTCAGTCGCAGGCGGAGTGTCTCTGATAGCAGGCTCAGGCTCTGGCACCGGCTCTGGCAGTATTTCTGGCTCCACCTGTTTCTTAGTCTTTGGGCAGCTGAGATCCATCGGCTCCTCCTGGCTGCCGGAGTCCATAGCCTCATATGTGCATGTACTGCCGAGGCGCCGGCCGCTACAGTGGAGGTCCATGGGTTTGTCCTGAGGCGGCGTGATGACTGTGCTTGGCACACTGAAGCTCCTGGAGGTCAGGTAGGTTTTGGAAACACTCCTGTCCTCCACGGGATCTGAGAGCTTCCGCTTGCGGTCGCTGGGGAATGAAGGGATCCTGATCTGGTCGACAGCAGTAGGTGTCTGGATGCTGGTGTCAACAGACCAAGACATCGGTGGTGAACTAGCTGTCAGCTGTAGTGGGAGATCATCCGGCAAGTCCGCTTGACCCCGAGCCACTTCGGTGTTGTATTCCTCTGCTGTGCTTGGCGAAGGTTTGGAGAAATGTCTGTCCTTGGGGGAACACTTTAAAGGATGCTCTGCGGCAGGAAGGGAGCTGCCGTTACAGATCTCTTTGGGGATACCATTCTCCGGATGCTCCATCATTTTGGTTCTATGAGCTTGATTGTTTTCCAATGGTTTGGTGTTGTGTGGTTTCTCTTCGCTCGACGATTCCCCGTGTTTACCTTTTGCTCCATGAACCTTGTTACTGTCCATATATTTGCTCATGACAATAACAATACGTCCATTCTTGTTTTTGTTCTTGATTATCTTCATTTTGCTGCTAACAGCACTTGGCAGGGTTGCGTCTTTCGGGTTGGGTTTGAGGGCATGTTCGCTCTCTGCCTCTTTGACAGCGGGTTTCCTCACCTCAACTGCCAACTCTTTGACTTTGCTCAAGCATCCTGTGTCTTTGTCACGAACCCATTTCTGCTGCAGAGCAAGCGGTAAGTTCCAGCCAGGATTTGCTTGTTTACAGGCTGGTTCCTGAACTTTGACCACCTCTTTCAGCCTCGAGGCCTGTGTGTCGTACATATTTGGGTCAGGCTCATAGTGGTGGTGCTTCTTGCTGTTTAGCTGGTAGATGAACTTCTTTTTGCCATTGGATAGCTGGTCGGCAGGGACCTCCTGGCTGCTGGGCTGGTACTGATGGTGCTTCTTGCTGTTCAGCTGGTACTGCTGAGGCTGGGGCCGCTGGATTTGGACAGGATCTGACTTGAGGCCGCCTTCTGCATCCTGCATTGTTTCCTCAAAACCTGTAGGGATACAGGATCTTCGGGCGAACGAGGGCACCTTGAGGAAGAGACAAAGCCAAAAGTTTTAACATGTCAATAAATAGTTTTAAAAGGGACAGAAAGTATGGGGTGCCTTTATGTTATCAGTGAATGCAGATAAAAGTGAGGGAAAATAGTAGACTTCCTTAACGTGGTACAACACTGATTTAGTATTTTGCAGCACTGACAAGAGACAGATTAAAAAAGAATGGTTGGATCTCAGATAAACAGGTGCTGAGATATCCTGGATTTCAGTGGATTTCAATTCAAATCCTACATTTCCCACAATGCAACCATTTCCATCAATTTGTCTGACCTTTCTTGCCTGGTAAATACCTGTGTCTTTCAAACTCCAAATCCTCCATTTGTAACACAGGCTGTCTGTTGAAAATATCATCTCCAAGCCCAAACTGAGATAATCCTAATGACATCACTATGGTGTCAGTCTTAATTTAGCTCTTCCTACATTACATAACAGTATTATCAGGGAGAGTCTACTCCTCATGGTGAGCTGATGTGCCAATCCTAACGTCTGCTTAAAACTGTGCTACAGCTAAAATGTGCTAACCTGCACATGGTCAAATGACAGTTTACAGGAAGCTTACCCCCCCCCCCCCCCCGTACAGACTGACCCCTCGGGCCGTCAGGGGGGCACTGCAGCGGAACGCTCAAGACGCTTTGGCTGTGACCTTAGGTCAGAGAAGTGCCAGCGGACATGTCACGCTTTTTCCCTGATTGCTGGCCACGTGTGACTTTGGCAGAGGGGTATGCCTCTTAAGGAGTGACACTGCATAGCAATCAGCTCCAAGTCTCAGAATATATAATCACATTTGGCTCAGGATACGACTCTGTCAAGGCCTCGGCTAAGATAGTCAAAGCACGGCGGAGTGCTACTTTCAGCCTTCTATTTTTGTCTTGGGGAACAATTAAAAAGCGGGAAACATTCCACTGATACTGATTCACTTGGTACAAAAGGAACTTATCAAGCGTCCTATAATAGAACAGTGTTTTGCAAATGAAGCTGCTTAGCATAAAGAAATAATGAACATGCAGAAAAAATATGAGTGCACTCAAGCAATCCTTAGGGTAACCTCAGGCAACAAAACCTGGTTTCATGATGACTGCACACAGAAACCCAGCTGTACAACCCCCTGTCCTCACTTTGCCCTTTTCGCTATTTCTATCAAAGAAATCTATTAATATCCACGACCATAATGACAACAGCTCCAAAAAGCGAGGCTTCACAAAATGAGATGCTTCAGCTACAGAAACAATCCTGTCAATAATGAAGATGATAATTACCTGCAGTAAAAGATGTTTCGGCTTTGGCCCCCGTTTACGATATCCCATCAGCTGCTCCTGCCTCTCTCTGTGAAAACAAAGATAATTACATTTTTCTTCCACATTATTTACCGTCTAAACACAACATCTCATTTGTCAGACAGTGTTTCACCTTAGAAATCTAATTAAATCACATGGGAACATCACAGGTTTGACACTTGGAGGATTTGTATGGTTTTTTTTCTACCTATTCAAGGTCAGAAGTGGAATTTTGATTCGGAGGACTAATGAATGCCCACATGTGACCCGCTGCAAAGCATTATTGTTCTTATTTGCATAGCTCTCCATGGTAATCGGCCCATTCCATATTCTCATTATCCAGGAGAAATTTAATTACAGCCAGAGCAGGCAGAATCTCCCCTCGTCTTTCAAACATCCTCTCACTGCAGCACAACCTTCCTCCTCTTACGTTCAAATCCTAATTAGGGTCATGAGGTACGGATGAAATGGGATAAATACAGCATTGTGGAGGACCTCTGGGATGTGTGCTGCTGCTGCTGAAAGAATTCACTCCACCACTTCTTGTGCAACACGACGTCTACATTCTGAAGGTGTAGAGTGATTAATATCAGACTAGCAAACAGTTTTTAATGAGGGACGAGCAAGGGAAAACATATTATTATAGTTGTACTGACTAGAAGAACTGGGCTGAGTGTCAGTGAAATATTGCTCCCTGATATAAACCTTGACTCATCATTGGCTCATAAATAACCAGTGGTGGATGAAGGCTGGCTGCATGCAGACTCCACCAGGCATGCGTCAACCCAGCCTATTGTCGGCCTCTCACTACAGATGTTCAAACTGTCAGAGCTGCCAGGAAGCTGCCACAATATACAGTCTACATTTTAATGCTATAATGTGTGCGATTTCAAACAGCGTCCAACGGGGTGACCCCTATTCACAGAAGATTTGGCAATTACAGCCTCCCTTGTCGGATCCCCTCCCCCATCCTCTGGGAGCAGAGAGGAATCCACACACACACAGTGCAGAGGCAGCGCTCCATGACCATCAGCACAGAGCCAGACACACACACACAC